GAAGTGTAATCAATTGGCTCTGCATGTGGCAGTCATGAAGACTGCCCCTGCGACATCAAAGCCAGCAAGGGTGGTGGAAAAGAAGATGAGTAGGGGATTCAAAAGCCATTGAAAATAAAGGGATTGGGGTTGCTAAACCAAAATGGCTCTAATACCATAAGAATGTTTGAATAATCCACCACACCTAAATGGTGTAAAAGTCTATCTTATTTATAATCAAATAAATTACAACAATATAGAAATAGTAATAAATGAAAATAACAATAAATAGAAAGATACCTATGTAAGAAGGAAAATATCTAGATATTTGCCTTATAATAAAATATCAAATATGATATATATGATAAACTATAATTTATTACTAAATATCCTTAACAGAGAGAAAGTGAACCGAGACGTTTTTCGACGATACCAAAACCATGAATCTGATCACAAGAGAGAACATACCACACTACAAAAGCGACGGCGTGTATACATAAGTAAGCCTTTCACACTCCATATTTTCGATAACATCACCTTCACGTTGCCTACGGGATCTGAAAATTTGAGGTTGGACTCTAGACAAATCTACAAATGTATGCAACCACAAGGATGTGGGATGTCATGAGAGGGGAATTCGTGCTAGAATGAAATATAATTGTCGATATACTGAAGAGGAAGATGTCAGATTACCGCGTATAGAGAAGAGAGAAAATGAAGTTAAAAGCTACGATAATCGGGCGAGGAAGACAAAGCCCGTGGACTTCAGGTCTGATATCGAACGAGTGACCATTACCAACCTTTCAACCTTTGGACTGTTGCATCATAGGGCAAGCCCTTGATGTAGGATTAAACTTTGTCGCTAGGAATGTAAGAAACCTTGGAGGTAGCTTTTTAGACAATATCACTTGGAACGCGTGAAGCTTTGGGCATAGGCTTTCAAACTGTATCACCCGGCAAGCCCTAGAAGTGGGTTCAGAGTACGTCACTTGGAACACATGAAGCCTTGGACGTAGCTTAAGACTGTGTCACTTGCAACGTATGAAGTCTTGGACACAGATTGTCAGGTTCATGACTCGTACCATAAATCCTAGGAGAATTATCTTAGAGAGCGAATTAAGAATAGAACAAGAATCTAGAAAGCAAAAAAAAAAAAAAAAAAAAAAAAAAAAAAAAAAAAAAAAAAAAAAAAAAAAAAAAAAAAAA